AGGAAACAGTTTTCTCCACTAAAATGAAATGATATGATAATGGAGAAATTGTAATGAAATAAGCTCTTCACTCCTTTGGTAGATGTCAGTAATCTATCGCCTTCAAGAGTCTTGAGATGTGAAATGGCATTATTAAATCAATCAATTTATAAAATTAAAATACAACGTATAAAAAGACAAGGGGGGGAAATTGCCAATTGGATTTGGCTTCAAAAAGCCCTAATATTCCGCTCCTTTTGGATAGTCAACGGACAAGTGTCTTTTAGTCTTTGGTAATTAATTGTTGTGATGTATTATTAATTATCATTTTATCAGTAAATATGTTTATTATGCTACCAATCAATTTGAAATATAAATTTATGGAAGTAATCGATGATTTTGAAATTCTATTGAGAGGTCATTGACCACTATTAGTTGGTTGAATCTTGTTCCACAATGCTGAACATCATAAATTCAAACTCATCTATACTTTCTTTTCTTCTCTTACATTACAATGATGAAATCCACACCTTTTTTTCTTTTTTCTTTCTTTTCTAATTTTTTCTTATATTTTATTATAGATACACAATCATAATTTTTGAAATCATACTTTATGGAAAAAGTAAACGACGACTGATTTTTGAAATATCTATTGAGAGGGTCATTGACCACTATTTTTGGTTTTGAAAAATAATCTACTAGTATACCACAAATTGACTGACTTCATTTAAATTCCAAAACTCATTCTATACTTCTTTTCTTCTAATTACATCATACAATGATGAAATCCACCTTTATTTATCTTTTTCTTTTATTTATCTACTTTTTATATAATAACAAAAATACTAATAATTAAAATAATATATAACTATAATATACTATACTATAATATCTAAATATATTAGTTTCTCTCTTTAACATATCTGACATTTATATTGTCTATAGAATATAGACATATAAAACACCAATAAGGTCAACTGTGTTCTGTTAATTCAGAGCATCATCTGACTTATTATTAAAAATATACTTGAAGATTTGAAGCATCCGTGTTGAGCTGCTATTTGAGTTTAGTTTTATACTTTGCTTTTAGTTTTAAAGTTTAAAACCACACAAAATTTACCCTCTTACTGGATTTGAATAATCGTTTGCACGTGGCTATATTAACCGCAATTGAGTTGAATCCTTGTACCACTTATAAAAATAAGCTTTTATTTTTTTTATTTTATTACTCTGAATAAAATTTCAAGCAGCTCACGAGTGGACTTAAATTTCATATCCCTACAGCTCTAAGGCATAGAATTTGTTCATTACTTTTACTATTAATGTTTTTTTTCCCTCTATTAATAGGGTTCTTATTTACTGATTTCGATTATTTTTTTTTTTTTTTTTTTTGAATAAAATCTCAAGCAGCTCACGAGTGACTTAATTTCTTTACAGCTCTAGGCATAGATTTAGTATTACTTTTATTTACTTTAAATGTTTTTTTTTCCTCTTTAATAGGGTTCTTTTTACTGAATTTTCGTTTATCTATGAAATATTTTCAAGTATGGATTCAATATTAATTTAAGCAAGTTGTACTCACTTAAAAACATAAAAAATAATTGTATTTTCGAATACTATCCGAAATTTTATATGCAAATTGATCGGTAATTCAATTTTTAAAATAATTATTGAATTTAATCAAAATGAATTGATTTGATTCGATTTTCGATTAATGGATATTGCGTGCCCTGCAATATTTTTCCAACACAATTGGAAGATATAAAAAAAATTATTTATTGAAAAAAAAAAAAAGGAATTCTTGCTATTGCTAAAATGGCATGTTCTTTTTTTAACCAAAGAAATATATGAAACAATCGTTTTTTATCTGAATTTTTAGAGCTGAAGTACGAAACTATGAAATTAAAATTAATATTTGTGGCTTTCATCTAAAGATTTATGAGTAAAATAGAAAATCCTAGCTTAGGTTAAAAGAAAATCAGATAAAAATATAATCGGTGACACGATTAGTTGTCAAGGATGTTGACTTAAAGGAGGGAAGTATTATGCACATGAGCAAAAAAAACAACAACAAAAAAAAGTCAACAAGTCGGTTGAGTTGAAAATTGAATCATATTTTTTTCAGATCCAAGCAAAATTGAGCCATGTATAGAATGGAATTGAACTAATCTAAATGGATTTAGTTTTCAATTTTCAATGAATTATTTTTTACACCCAACTAAAAACTGAAAAATCAAAATTGTCTAAAAAACATAAATTTTATTTGTTAATTAGTAAAATTGAGAATTGAGTGTGATTGAGAAGATTTTGCACATGAGATCTTCAGAATTAGTTTATAGGTGCATCATGATTCGGAAAGTTGCTAAATGATTTGGGGGGTCATGGATCCGTCATAGGGTTGGAAATTTGATATTTTGAATTTTGGTGGAAATGGTGCTCTCAAGGAATTGAGTCGACAGAGGTGAGTCTTCTCTAAGATCATAATCTCCTACGTCTTTTATTTCCCTGTAGTTTCTCAACAGCTCTTTGACAACATTTCGAAACTTGGCGTTGTCTATAACCGGCTGTGTGTGGCTCAGCCCTTGAATACACGGTGCCACCACATTGATGTTCGCCTCTGCTTACTAAGAGATACATTATCATTACATTATTGCAATTAAAGCGAGTTGTACGCAGCAACATGAGACACGTAAATTATATAAATACAAGTTAAATCTATTAAAAGAACAAAAAATTACAATTTACAATTAAAAATTAAAGAATCAATATGTGAAATTTTCGAATCTAGCCATCCAAAATATCATTTATCTACACCTTTGGACTATAAAATCTAAAGATTTTTTTATACTTTACCTACGCGCTCTCTATATATCAAATTTGTGTTGCCATTGAAACTAAAAATTAAAGTAATATATATATAAACTCAGATGATGAAGAAATTTTATTAATTTCACACATCAATCTTATTAGGGCATATTCGATAAAATTAATTATTTTTGTAGTTATTAATTGTTTTAATAGCGTTTAGTCGTTAGTGACTAGCTTTTCATGAAACGCTAAAAAATAAACGTTACATAAATTAACTTTTCACATAACGCTATATTAATTTTTAAAAACTAATTCAAACGCTATATTATGAATAATATAACACTAAAAATTACTTAAAAATTTATTGTTCGGCGCAGTCTTAATATCACACGTCAGCGGTCACTTCTGAATGAAAGAGCATTGGAGTTGGACGTTTAGCCTATTGTTAAAGTTAAATTTGGTGGGAGGTTGACAAACAGGGGAAAGGCATGCAAAGATAAGGCACAAAGCATTACCGTCTTTTTCACGCATATGCATTTTCATGTCAGAAGATAGAAGTGTTTTTTTTTTTTTTTTTTTTTTTTTTTTTTTTTTTTTTTTTTTTTTTTTTTTTTTTTGCATCAAAGTAAATTTGTATATATACAGAATTATATTACCAAATATGCACAACGCACAGTGCTATGGATTTTTTTTTTTTTTTTTTTTTTTTTTTTTTTTTTTTTTGCATCAAGTAAATTTGTATATATACAGAATATATTACAAATATGCACAACACAGTGCTATGATTCAAATAGACTTCAAGTATAATATTTTAAACACATTAAAGGGGATCCATTTAAGGACAGCTCAGTCTAATTTATACAAAAAAAAAAATCATTTTAAAGAGAGAAATTATATATTAATGAAAAAATTTGAAGGGGAGAGAAGTTCTCATTTCTCATTGTCTTAATCAACTTCAATGTTGATTGATGTAAATTAAGACTATATCTGTTGTTGATTTGTATTTTTTATTTTATCCTATCAAAGACAAGTCAACTTATTTATATTTAAATAAAAAATATTACAACGCTGCATGCGGCTACGAATCTACATTGTAAAAAGAGATCAATTGATCTTTTTTTTTTTATTTTCTTTTGATGCACATATATTTTTTTCAATTGACCCCTTTTAAAATTTCGAACAAATTGTTTTTATTATAGTTTATTATATATTGAGCAGAAAAATTTTATCTTGGATCCGCCACTGAATGCATATATCTGGAGGGATAAAAATCATTTTCAACTGTAGCTCCGTTTCCTTCCTTTCATCCATTCTTCAAACCAAACATAGCCTTAAAAGAAACATATGGCAAGTGTTGAATGCTATATATATGCAAAGGTCAACTTTAGTTTACTCTGTTATAGTTGGTTGGGTTTCTAATCATCAATTATAGGGACAAAGAAAAAAAAAAAGGAAACGAAAACGAAAATGAAAATGAAAATGAAAATGATTTGCTAAGATTTCACCGAAAGCAAGATTATCCAACTAGCTATGTCCAGGCTTGTAGCTACTCGTGCTGCACATATACAATGATGGAAAATAACCCTAATTTTGCTTTTCTTCTTTCCCTTTTATAAATCATGATCTCTTTTCTCAGTTTCACCTTCTATCTATTCAAGAAATAGGACTTCAAAATTAAATATCTCATCACTTGTACAATGAGATATGCCAATATTGTGCATCTATTGGGTCATTAATCTACTAATTCAGCAACTCTATCTTTTGTTTATTGGACGAAATCAAATTTTATATCACTAATATTGACTTTGGTAATAAGTTTTTTCTATTCTTATTAATATTATTATGTTAATATTAATAACAAATCTCAAGTTAATAACAAATATTTTTTCTTTTATCAAAACCTAGTTATTAAATATATGTTTTCACAAGCTTTTCATCCAATATTCTCAGTATTTCTTATAAAATTATCAAATTTTATTCTGCTATTTTACTTATTACAGTTAGACGGATTCGATTGACAAATTAAGTCTAACAGTTTAAGCTCAAATCAAAATCTTTAACTAAAAACTGTTAAACATGAAAAAAGAATTAAACTTTTAGGGTCCCAAAGACAACAATATTAATAGTTTAATACGAGGACAAACCCAGCTTGTCAACTAGTTATTATTATCCAAATAAGATACCCAAATACATAAGATACCCTCAAAAGCCATTCAAGAAGCTAAAAAGGCCTGTGACTCTTTTTCACGTTCGAACCCATGTTTCTTGGAATCATCAGCACTCCATATGAATATACCTCCTAACTTTTCTTCATTTTTGAGTTCCTTGCATGCTTCAAAAAACCCATTTTCAGGGCTTAAACCTCCATTGCTACCATCAGAACTGAAGCTAGCAAGGATTTGACCCCCTCCATAATGTTTAGCTTGTTTATTAAAATACTTAACAAATTGAGATGTACTAATTTTTTCATAGGCATAAAATTGAAAATTCACATAATCTATTAAATTCCCATAATTTCTCCACAACTCCAAGTAATTGCTCTGGACTTCTCCATCGTCATCATAGGGTGCAATTGAAGCAATTGATATTATCCCACTTTTCTGAAGACTGGTTATCAACTGTCCGATGCACTCGGAGAATGTACTAGGATCTGATTTGAAGTGCTCATAATCAATATCGATCCCATCCAAGTTGTAATCTTTGATCATATTAGTTAATGAAGAAATGGCATTTTGCACCCAAGATTTTATAGACTTAGGTGCAAAAAATGCCTTGTGATCTTTACCAATACTATCTCCGCCCAAGCTTACAACAACCTTGACATTAGGGTATTTATCTTTTATTGAAGCAATTTCTTGAGGAGTGATATGGGTTGATGCCCAAAAAGGATTGAATTTTCCATCGGTGGGTGAAGGTTTTTCCAGGTTTGTGTAGTCAATTGCAAACGCAAGAATGAAATGGAATTCCACATTGGAATTTATAGGCACATGGGATAGCTTGATTGAGTCAGATTCTGCTCCAATGTACTCCCTGAATAGCTTGGAATTGGCAGCTACAATCAATCAAATGATTAAATCAAAAGCCATCAAGTCTTTAATTAAATCAGGAGGGACAGTACCCCACTCCTGGAAATAAGACATAAAACCTGCTGCCCTAACTGGAACATGAGCAGCCTGATTGGCTGATCTCTTGACAGAAACAACAGAGCACTTATTTAATTGTTTAGAAAATAAATTTGGAATTGAATTTTTCAACTTAATCATTAATTTCTATTGCTTGGAAACCAAACAAGCTATGAAATGTAAGATCTATGGCTTGGAAACCAAATTACCTTTGCATGTTGTGAGGAAAAGGATTACGAGGGTGGCCAAGAGAGCGTTGCAGAGCTCCATTAATTATCTTGAATTAATAAACAAGAATATTCAGTACATTACTGAGGCAAATATATGTGTCATGCGTCGACTTGTATATATAGTTGTTTTCTATAGTTAAAACCGCTCTGTAAATTAAATTATCCCTTTTGACTGCTAGTCACTGTTCTTAGTTTTAATTAATGGATGCAGGTCTGCAATATTCAAATTTGTCCATTATTAAGTTTTATCTTCTTCTAATTTAAACAAAAAAAAATTTGCAAAGATGGTCTGTAAGATTTGTATTTATTTGTTGTGATTGAGTGTCCCTTAGCTGTCTCAGTTTTTGGAATCTCTGAAAGTGGCAAGGGATCCCTTATCTGATATTCCAAGAATCATGGGATACTTGTCTTACGTTTTCTTCTTTATTATCAATTTTTTTCTATATTTGTGGTTTGTCAGCTATAAAACAGCAGTACTTTATGTTGGGGATAATATGAGTTTATTCATATGAAGAATCATCGAACATAACAGAACAAAGGAAGCTACGACACAGCTCCCAAACAATGCAGCTAGCATGTGAAAGAGATGCTCTTGATCTTGCTAATTGTAAGAGGTGAGCATCACTATATGCTTGCCGACTGATCTAACACAAGGACTCATGAAATTACCTGCATTTACAGTCAGAAAATAGTACTCACTTCGTTTCATTTGATACTCTTTTGCTGTACTTATATAATTAATGAAGGGGTAATTTAATCCAATTATTTTTATTTTATTTTTAAATTTCATGTAAAGTCGAAAAATATCAAATTTAACGAAGTGTCAAATTTAATCAAATTTGAGTTATTCTTGAAAAATGTTAAGAATTATTACAAATTTAATTTTCAATATTTTTAATTATAAAAATTTGAAAACGGATAACAGTCTTGAATATAACATTCATGAAATAAAGTTCAGTTTGTCCCGTGAAATTGTGATTTATGGGAAAAGAACTATAAAATTAATTTTTTATTCAATTCACTCTCTGAATTTGTAATTATGCGCAATTTTTCCAAAAATCCTAAATTCTAGCATAATTTGCCTTAATTCTTGTGTGAATTTAGGCTTTTTAGAGTATATTTCATGTGATTACAAATTCAGTATATAAGTTGAGCTAAAAAAAGTATACTTTATAGCTTTTTTTCACGAATAAAAAGTTCAAAAGACAAACTGGATTAAACTCCTAATATATACAAGTACTACTTTCTAGAAATTACAATCCTAATGCCAACATATCAAGATAGAGCAATCTAAATAAGGACAAATAGAGCTTGGAACAACTTGTAAGGCAGGGCAGGGCAAGGCAGGACAAATCAATTATATCGTAGGAATCACTTTAGACTAATTCTTTGTTCCCATAGGAAGATTTGTTTTTCTCAGAGTATTATTTTGTTTCCTTTCAAATTTTTTTTTAATCCCTCCATTTTGTCATCTTCTATCCTTTTCAATTAACTAAGTGCAATTCTTTGTCATTAATGTTTATTGCTGAAACAGTCACTGTGCATACAACTTGGCAAGTGAAATAAAATATTATCTTTTGACTCAAAAATGCATAATACCCATAAAATTTATGAACTATGTTTTGTGAGTATAGAAGGTAATGTAATTATATATATAATATTATCTTTTGACTCAAAAATGCATAAACCATAAAAAATTTATGAACTATGTTTTTGTGAGTATAAGATTAATCGTATATTATTATTATATATATATATATATATATATATATATATATATATATATATGATTTATTGAAAGTTTCAATTGTTGGAAATACTGTTATGAGCTATATAATAAAAATAATTTCCTTTTGATTCATTAAATTAGTGAAATTTAGTGAATTCAGATATTTCAAATCTCAGGTATTACACCTTTTTATATTAGTAAAAATATCAATTAAACTACATTTATTTTACAATATATGTCGGATTTGTTATCATATAGTGATATAGTATTAATTTATTAATCAAAGTCAAACAAAAAATAACGATAATATAGTAAGAAGTTAATGAATTCACATGGTTTTGCATTGAGAATTAGCTACCTCTAAAAAATTAAATTCCATGGAAGAACAACTGGACCACTGAGACAACGTATATCCAATCCCAGTATAAAAATTAATTAATGTCTTTGTCAAAATTAAAAGAACGTTTATTCAAAATAAAGGTCTAACATTTATCGGTAGCCCTTACACCATTATATAATAAGAAAAAGAGCTAAGAATGTTCATCTCACACCAAGCTACACAAATCTTTCATTTCTTAGGAAAAAAAAAAATGGAACTCTCCAAAATTCTTATCACTCTTCTTCTACTCCAAGCACTAGTCCCTTCCCACACCTCATTGATCGAAGCAGCTCCAAAAAGCTCCAATCTTTTTCGAGAATACATAGGAGCAGAGTTCAACAATGTCAAATTCACAGACGTTCCTATTAATCCAAACGTAGATTTCCACTTCATACTCTCATTCGCCATAGACTACGATACCTCAAGTTCTCCATCTCCAACTAATGGAAAATTCAACATTTTCTGGGATTCTGATAATCTATCCCCTTCTCAAGTTTCTTCAATCAAAAACCAGTATTCCAATGTCAAAGTAGCTTTAAGTCTCGGAGGCGATAGCGTACAAGGCGGATATGCATACTTCAAACCTTCATCCATCAATTCTTGGGTGTCTAATGCAGTTTCTACACTCTCAAGCATCATCAAACAATACAATTTAGATGGTATCGATATCGATTATGAACATTTTGAGGCTGACCCAAATACATTCGCAGAATGCATAGGTCAACTTATTACAACACTTAAAAGAAATGGTGTAATCTCTTTTGCTTCTATTGCTCCATTTGACGATGATCAAGTTCAAACCCATTACAAAGCTTTATGGAAAAAGTATGGAAATGTAATTGACTATGTCAATTTCCAATTTTACGCGTACGATAAAGGAACCACAGTAGATCAGTTCATAAGCTATTTTAAGACTCAAAGTGAGAATTACGATGGCGGTAAGGTGTTGGTGAGTTTTATCAGTGATGGAAGTGGTGGATTAACACCAGAAGAAGGGTTTTTCACAGCTTGCAATAGGCTTAAGAGTGAAAAGCAATTGCATGGTATTTTTGTTTGGTCTGCAGATGATTCTAAGGCTAATGGTTTTCGTTATGAGAAGCAGTCACAGGCATTATTAGCAATACCTCACTGATCTTGTGCATGTATTATTATATATTTCTCTATGTTTAGTATTCTACTGTTATGTATCAATATATATATATTATTCTACTGTTATGTTCAAATTAATATATATATATATATTATATATATATGATTGAATTATGAATTCATTAAAGCTCTGCCTATATATTCTCGTTTTCTTATGCTAACTACTAAGAATTTTAAGAAATATTTTGGCTATATGAATGAATTATGATATCATTAAAGCTCTGCTATATATTCTCAGTTTTTCTTATCTAACTACTAAGAATTTTAAGAAAATATTTGCAAATATTCTTATAAGCGAAACTGAATCATCAAAATAAAGGATTAACCAAAAAAGAAAAAAAGAAAAATCACAACAAGAAAATAAAACAAAATAAAGTACTAACCTTTTTTATAAATCATCATGGTTCAATGCTCCTAAGTAGTCACTATCCTCATAAAAAAAATGCTACTAAGTGGTCACACAATCTGTAATTAGCCAAAAGAATACCTTTTACTTGGTAGAGATTGTCTTGAATTTTTCAAAGTTGGATGTGTGTTTGCCCAAAAAGGTCAAACTCTGGTTCGTGGATTGAGCTTCTAACACCCAGCTTATGGTGTGATAAAATTTTTAAACATATTTTATAAATCAGTAACAGCCTGTTTGATTTTCTTAAGTTCTACTTTTTGTAAAATATATAGAAAATGAAAGTTATCGAATTCGAATCTCTGTTCATCATAAATGTTATCACAAAAAGTAACTAACTAATAAGAAAAATAAATAATATTTTTAATTAACTGAATTATATGCTTATGTTACCCGTCCTTTATTATAGGGAGTAAAATCCACCAATCCGAATAAAAAAATTATTTTTAAATATAATTTTGTTAATATATAAATTTAATTGAGTTATTTTTACTGATTTTAATATTTTCCTCTTATTTTTAATTTTTATATATTTTATATATTATGTATAAATAAGTTACGATAAAAAAGTAATTAATTAGAAAAGAAACATGGATTGTCGCTCAGTTAGCAGCGTAGACTGAGCATGTGAGAAGAGCTCTTGAATTCGATCATTACTAAACGCATATGTAAAAATAGGCAAAAAACTTTAATTATAGCTAAACTCCTAACCGAATTAAACGGTCCAACTAGAAAAAAAAATAATTATAATAGAAAAATATAGTAATTATATTCCTAATTAGTTGAATTAAATGCTTATTTTATACATCATTTATAATAGGGAGTAACAGCCAGGAATCCAAATAAAAAATAAATAAATAAACATTATTCAGGCTTTTCTAAAAAAGAAAAAGAAAAAGGAAAATCATGTCGGTAAGTACGGCGTCTATGATATATCGCCAGCAAAAGTAGTTAAAGAAATACATTTGCACAGTTTTAATTGAAATAAAAAGAGAGATGTCGTTGGGTTTGTAAAATATATGATCCATATATTTGAAGTAGGCAATTGTTTTGTTATTTTATTAATAATTCTTAAACTTTTATTTGAGTTTTTAAAATTTTATTTGTATTATATTGTTTTTATGACAAAGTATAATAAAAATATTCAAATAATTTTTATTCCAATGTATTAGAAAGTATTAAAACAAATATACATTTATTTTAATTGTTATAAAGTACCAAACCTGTTAAAATAAAAACACACAAAAGCATTGTTTAATGGTGAGTGCATTACGACCTCGCAATAAATTCAGGTTCAAATTCATTTCTTGATATTAAAAAAAATTGTAAAAAAAAGAAAAGAAAAGAATATTTATTTCTGTGTTCCAAAAATTTTCAAAGATATATACATATTTTCATTATTGCTAATAATTATTTTTTTAATAATTTCTTCATTATTGCTAATGAATTTCTTACTTGTGGAAAGAATATTTTCATTTAGCTATTATGACAGTTAAGCTGTTTGTTTTATTTATTTTTTTTTTTTTTAAGAAGATGAAATTTTAGCCGTTTATTAATAATTATTAGTTATTACCCGTTTAAATTATATGGATATTCACATTATCTACACTCCAAAATTAATAAATATAAAGCAAATTATTGTTTTGTTTTATTTTCCAATGTCCAAACCTAAGCGGTGGATAAAAATGAAGAACTCGAAGCATTCACACTCACGAACCGACGCCTATTCCTCTAACTAACGGTCAAAATCTTCATCTCTAAGTAAAATTCCTTCCTTTTTCGTCAGGTTTCCTTATTTTCTTTGCCTCTATAAATTCAGCACAGATCATTTGATTCAGAACAGAGTTTCGAAAGATGGTTTATGAAATATGGCTAATTCCATTTTTTGGGCAAGGTCATCTTCTTCCCACCATAGAACTCTGCAAGCAAATTTTATCAAGAAATTTCAAAACCACGCTTATCATTTCATCTGATCTCTCCTCCAATATTCCTTCCTCTTTAACCCAATACCCACTCTTTCAAGTAGCCGAATTACCCTCATCGCCGCCGCCGCCGCCGCCGCCACATTCGGCCCCCGATCCTTTCCATCGACACCTTCACCACCATTCAGAGATGGCCCAAGGCATTGAAGACCTCATAGCGAAACGATCTGAAAATCCGGATTCGACCCTGCCGATTTGTGCTGTCGTTGATGTTATGATGAGCTGGACTAATGAAATCATCAAGAAATTTCAGATTCCAACAATTGGGTTCTTCACTTCTGGCGCTTGCTCTGCGGCTATGGAGTATGCTATTTGGAAGAACCACGCGGTAGATCTGAAACCTGGAGAGATCCGTTTGCTTCCCGGGTTACCCGAAGATATGGCTCTAACGGATTCGGATCTTAAAACAAGACCTCATGGTCCTCCTCCGGCAGGAAATGGTGGCGGGCCACCACCTCCAGCAGGTCCTCCTCCGGGTGGAATTGGCGGACAGCAACCACCTCCACCTGGACCACCGCCTGGTTTTGGACGACGAAAAATGGGTCCGCCGCAGCCCGGTGCTCCACCGCCGTGGTTGGAAGATACCGAAGCGTCCATTGCGTTGATGATGAATACGTGTAACTTTCTAGAGCGTCCATTTATCGAGTACCTAACTAACGAAATTGGAAAACCAGTTTGGGGTGTAGGTCCGTTATTACCCGAGCAATTCTGGAAATCGACCGGTTCAATTTTACAAGACAACCAAATTAGAGCCAACCGGCGGTCCAATGTAACTCAAGAAGAAGTTCTCACTTGGTTAGATGCAAAAGCACCCGGTTCGGTTTTATACATAGCATTTGGTACTGAAGTAGGACCTACAATAGATGAATACACCCAATTAGCAGATGCATTAGAAGCATCAAACCGACCATTTATCTGGGCAATTCAACTCAATTCAGGTCGAGTCGGTCCACCTAGTCAAACTGGTTCAGACCAAGGTTATTTTCCTCATGGTTTACAAGAAAGAGTCGGAAAAAGAGGTTTGATAATACATGGATGGGCACCCCAATTGTTGATACTGAGCCACCCATCAATAGGTGGATTTTTATCACATTGTGGATGGAATTCTAGTGTGGAAGCAATTGGAGGTGGAAAAGCAATCTTGGGATGGCCAATTAGAGGTGATCAATATTATAATGCCCAATTGATAGTTAAACATCTCAAAATTGGATTTATGATTTCTAATGATTTTTCAAGACTGATTAGTAAAGATGATATAATTAAAGGAATCGAGAGGTTGATAGGAGATGAACAAATCAAGAACCAAGCAAGATTGCTTAGTGCTCAATTTGAAAATGGGTTTCCAATTAGTTCAATTAGTTCTTTAGATGCTTTTAGGGATTTTATTATCTACAAGAAATATAAATTGTAAAGTTTAGTTGCTTAATTTTTAATTTTAAATTTGGGTGCTAGTATGGAAAAATATGATGTAATGCAATTATGTATGAATTATTACTAAGATGTTATTAATTAGTTTCTAATAATTTTTTATTATAGTGTAATTTATATTTTTTTTTCTAAAAGGTAAAATAAAAACTTCATTGCATAATGAATAAGTTTAAGTTGAATGATATTAAATTTATTAGTTTACAATTTAATAGTTTTGAAATTGTAAATTTGAATATATTCAAAAAAAAAATGTAAATTTGAACATTAATCATAATTTCAATGATCAAGAAAGATTCCATCAGCCTACTGATATATTCAAATACATTATAAAATAAAGTGAAATAATGAGATAACATAGTACATTTTGACATCCCGGCAAAAATTTCGACAAAAATATTTAATTATGAAAATTTTTCACATTTTATTGATTAAAGATAAAGTTGAAATACCAAACAGAAAAATTAATAAAATTGAGGCACTAACTTTATAATTATACTTAGATTATTAAACATATTTATATAAAAATAATTATTATTTTTATAAATTTTTTTTAAAAAAATTTTATTTTCTCACCTTAATATTATTTTCATTTTTTTCCATTAATAATTTACTATTTATATATACACTATATGTTCCAAGTGTTTTCGTTACCATAAACATAAAACCTTAATGTTCCATAAACCCAAATAAATAAGTAATGGCTTTGAACTTCATTGTTAAAACAATTTTGGATATCTGAAAATTGGACCCAATTTTGTAGAAACGCACTTTTCTTCTTTAATATGATCTTTGAACCAAACCAAGGCCCAATTTGAAACTAGTGTTTTTAAGCCTCTTTTCATGTTTGTATTGAAAACTTTCCTATTTTCTTATTTTTATTTTTTCAAAATATAAACACTCCACCCTTAATATTTCAAAATATAAATAACAATCACATTGCTTTTCAATGAGCTAATAATAATTTAATTAGTAATTAAGTAATTAAGTAATCTATATTATTTTCATAATATAAAAGAAGTAATAGTTTAATTTTCTAGTACGTTTCTCATAATAAAAGAGAAGATAGTAACTGATCAATAACAATTTATGGTCTTATACCACTACAATATTAAAAATTGGTCCATTAATCTAGTATCCGCCTCACGATATATAAATAGCTCATAACCTAATTATATTCTAATTATTATATAGATTTCAAGAATTCTGCTAATTTTACCAATTCCTTTTCTTGTGGAGGGTTCTATTATAACACAAAATGGCAACCTTTTGTATGGTGAAAGACGGGCTACCAAAGCACATGAGGATTGATTAGAATAGATTACATTTCGATAAAAACATGTGGGAGATCATGTCCTACTACTACCAATTTCAATAGGAAAATGAAAATGGAAGTTGTTTTTACAAGTGGTTTTCAACAACCACAATTAGGTGATGAGTTAGTGTCAACACAATTTAGATAATACATTTACTCTCACTTTAATTATCATAATTTAAACCTCCCCTTATGTTTCTATGTATGTACAATCAAGTCATTCTACTAAACTTCCATGTGTAATTGACAAATTAGCAAAATTTAGATTTATGTTTTTATCTACCCTCTCTCCTTTTTTTTATATTGGAGATGAAACGATTGAAATAGTATTTGGGTTGTATTTATAACAGAGGATAACTCTTCCATTTTATTTTTGTAACGGAGATGATTCAAATTCGAGACCTTTTACTGCTCATTTTCAAACAAATATTAGAAGAATAACCAGTCTATATTTGATAGGCTATATAGCTTTTTTATTAATACTGTCTCTGTTACATAATACTTAGTCACATTTGGAATTTCACGTTCCTTAAAAAACACATTAAACATGTTTAAATTACAATAAATTATTGATTAAATCGACTATATTACCCTTAATTTACCAAAGTTGGAAACACGTAAATGCTTCTTATGAGATTAGACATTGACAGGAGATATAGAGAGCTCCCTCCAACTTTGGAATCCTATGCTTTGGTCACAAATAAATTTATTTATTTATTTATTACATTAGTGTGAATTAGTAATTTTTTTTTTCAAGAATAATAATATCAAGACCAAGCAGTATTATTAATTTATAATATAAAATTTTATCAAGTTGATATAGTACATTTATTGAATTTTTTTTTTTCAAATTACAAGAGTTAATATTTATTTTCTTTTTTATTTTTTATTTTCAAAAAAAACCTTCATATTGGTATAATTTCATTCTTTAACAAAAGCCAAAGTGATATTAGTCCAAACCAGAAGTAATGTACCTAAACTAAGTAACATGCCTATTATGATTGCTATGCCGTGTGCTGTCAAAAGCTAAATCGAGATTTTTTTTTTTAACCTTTCTTTTGGGTTTTTATCTTTTCCCTTGCAAGCAATTACAATGTCACATGCTGAGCTACACAGCAAAATTAGATTACCAAACCCCTTTTTTTTTTCTTTTGGTTACAATCTTTATTTTGTATATTTTGATTGAATATATAGTAATTTTATAAACTCTGTTTTAAATTTATCAAATGAGTCTTCCTACTTCTAAACTATTTTAGGCAAATCCTTCATTATTAGATACTATATTAAATAAAATATTACAAAATAGTATTAGATTTTTTTTTTTTTTTTTATATTAAATAAAATTATTACAAAATAGTATTTAGATTTTTTTTTTTTTTTTAGTACAATGCATGTGATATTATTGGTAGAAAAAAAAAAAAAAAAAGAGGTGGATTGATTAGGAAATAAAAAAAAAAAAAAAAAAAGAGGTGGATTGATTAGGAAATAGAATAAAATTGGGGGATTTCTTATGTATTTTGTTTTAACGTGAAAGTGATAATAGTACGATGCAAAGCCAGCAGATATAGAGCACCTGTCATTTCGGTTCTAGGCAGAATGAGTATGATCCATTAGATCTAATCTTGATGGGCCAGGTTCAGCCCTTTCCTTACTAATTATAAACATGCCATGTGTCCCCACCCCAGACTTTTGGGCAGAATCTTTAACTTATTTTTTTGCAATTTTTAGGGTGAATTATTTAATTTTATAGTTTGGTGAAAATTAAAGGATTTTTATGTTTTAGAAAATAATTAAACCTTTTTTATTTTATTTGTTCAAATAAATAATTTTTTAAAACATTTTGCTGATTTTTATTTAAAAACATTCAATAAAGAGTTATCTTCTATTATATATATATTATTCCACTTCTTCTGGTCTCTTAATAATTAGTGAGATGAGATAGTAGAAATCTTTTATTTTTTGTCTTCCTACCTCTCGTAGTAGATGTAGAGAGTGAGAGCTCACGAGTTTGAATCCTCTTCACCACAAAGTTATCATTAATTTGGTGAATATTATTTAAGAGAAAGGTTGCCCCTGTTGTGCAGACCACAATGTTATATATCGATCAAGTATATACTGAAACTAATTCTTCTTTATGATATCATTTTCTTTTGGTTTAACGATAACTAAAATGAAATTATCGACTAATTTTGGCGCATCATATTGAATTTATGCTTTTTTTTTTTGTCTAACTAAGCTAAAAGCACACTAACAATATTGGAGTTAGAAAATTCATAAATAAAAATAAATTATTTATAATTTGAATCGAAAAATGGAATTTGGTTCGACAAGTTGATGAGCAAATAGATAGCATTAGTAAGTGTAAAGACTGAATTGTAAGTTGATGTTGTAAAGTAAAGAGAAAAGAAAGGAAAGGAGTCCAACTTGAAATACACCCTACCAACTAACAGTTTTCACTCGGAAGCGTTTGGGTACGAATATAGCAAAAGACCGCTTTCTTTCCTTTTCTTTTTTCATGAGATATATGCACATGAAACATTATACAATCTTCAGCACTTATAACAAATATCAAAACTCATTAAAAGCACGACGAAGACCCTGTTCTACAGTTTTAGCTCTTTTAGTAGTTGTAAGTTGTTAGATATTAGCTGTTAACGGTTAGTTATTTATATAGCGATTTAAAATAAAAGTGTTCGGTAGAAATAACCGTTTGATTAACTATTCAATGTAAAACGATAAAAAACGGTATAGACATATATTGCTGCAATGGAGAACAAGACAAAAACAAAGGATCAATATAGGTGTCATAAAAAATTTATAAAACGTTAAATTTAGTGAGTATAACATTTCATGAAACATTGCCTCAAACTCTAAACGTTAAGATTGATATTACATTACCGAATGCCATAACTAATTAAGATAGTATTTTAACCAGTCAAAATACTAAACACTACTCCAAACATTGTTCCCGATTAAAGCCTTAGGAAGAGTGGATATATATATTGTTACTTAGAGCTTTACTAAATGGCACAAGTAGGGGTGGCCACGGAACCGCCGGTTTCAGTTCCAAAAAATGTGTAACCTGAATTGACCGAAAATTGATGGTTCCGGTTACGGTTTGGAACGGTTTCAAAACCAATAGTTCCTAACGGTTCTCCAGTTGAATTTTTGGACGGTTCACATAATTTTAAAATAAAAAACAGGAAACTTTTTTTTTTTTTGACATTTAAAATTTAAATATTTATGAAATAAATTTTAAAAATAACTTTAAGACAAATTAAAAAAAGGGGCTTGAACTTAATTAGAGGTTGAAGAAATTATTTGACAATAGTTTGGACTATAATTATAAATCGAAAAGCTTAGATAGATTGAAGAGTAGAAAAAAATAATTTGATATGAGGAGAATGAAAATAATAGTATATTTTATAATAAATCTAAAAAACATTTAACTTTCACAAATACCTTAAAAACTAGCAGTTATATAGTCCTTTACAGTAGTTAGGAGAGTTAACTTGAAAATTCGATAAAATTTTTGAAAAAAATAAAAAGAAATTATGCTGGAACACAGAAATTGTATCAAAAATATTTTTTGCATAATTTATAGGGTATAAATAGAAGAAGGAAACTTGGAACCTTCTTGTCCCCAAAGATCACCTCTTTAGTGTTAGTAATCCAAGCATATCTTGGAGTGATAGTGGGGATAAACATTAACTACGACCTGTTTCTTTCCAATTTCCAAGCATGTGAAATGTCAGTGAAAAGAAAAGCCTCACGTGTGAATCTGTATAAA